CCAAAACGGGCTGGAGAGGTGGCCCAGGAGCTAAGAACACTGGCTGTTCTTCCAGATGAGCAGGTTTAATTCCCAACACCCACATGGCAGCTCACAACTGTCTGGAACTCCAGTCCCAGAGAATCTGATGCTCTTTCCTAGCTTCAATGGGTATCAGGCATGCAGGGTGCACAGACATTGGATTCAGACAAACCGCCCATACAGATAAAAACAAACTAAAAAAAAGTCATTAAAAGTAGATTTATCATTAAGCTTAGGAAGGAAAAAGCTCAGGGTTACTTTTCTGCATAGGTCTCTTCCATTGTCAAGGTCTTATGTTATTACCACCCATCAAATGTGGTATAATTGAGGCCACGGTGAGTGGGTCCACTCTACTCTTTACCAAGTCCCTTGGCACTGATGTGTTTTGAGCACCGCATACCAGCCCATTGGAATGGACCATGAAAGTTTCCAAACTTGCACAAGCCAGTCAAACTGACTTAAATTGTTGAATTAAAGGAAAGCTAACACAATGTAACAATTCTTAATGATTTTATTGTAATCTTCTCTTTGCCCCTTCCCCTGCCCCAAGACAATGGTGATTGTGCTTTCGTGTCAGAATTTCCTCTCTTTCCAGTTCTACAAATATCAACCATTGGCTTGCAATCAACCTCTTTCTACGGAGAACTACAAATGCATATCCACTTCTCCCTGTTTAATTTTGTTTGTTTATTTTAAAAATTATGTTTATTTATTGTGTGTACATATGTACATGCACTTGCCACATAGTATGTGTAGAGGTCAGAGGACAACTTGTGGACGCTCACAGGATAGGAAATCACACAGCTTGGATCTTCCTCCAAGGAAAACCACTGCCCAATAACAAAGGTAGGAAAGATGAAGCCACATGAAATCCCTAGTATTTTAGTGTCTGCCTCAGTTTGAGCAAACTACATGGCCTTCTGAGGGGTGTCATCCATCCAATTACTCAGGAAGATAATAGTGTCATGCTGGCTCATTTGTCAACTTGACACAAACTATAAAGTCCTTTTGGAAGAGGGAATCTCAGTTGAGAAAATGTTCCCACTAAATTAGCCTATGGATAAGCCTGTGGTTCCTTCCTTTCTTTCTCTCCTTCCTTCCTTCCTTCCTTCCTTCCTTCCTTCCTTCCTTCCTTCCTTCCTTCCTTCCTTCCTGATTTCCTTCTTCATTGACGGTTGATGTATGAGGGCACAGTCTACTGTGGGTGCTGCCATTCCTGGCCAGGTCTTCACACAAGAAAGTGTGCTAAGCAAGCTACAGGAAGCAAGCCAGCAAGCAGCAATTCTCCATGGCTTCTGTAGCATTTCCTGTTTGAGTTCGTGTCCTGACTTCCCTCAGTGATGGTCTGTTACCTGGAAGTGTGAATAATATAAACCCTTTCTTCCCCAAGTCGATTTCGATCATAAAACTTAAGATTATGATTATGGTTGTGCTTTCACCACAACCATAGAAGAAACCTTAACTGAGGCAAATACCAACCTAAGCCGTGAAGCCCTGATGAACAATGTCTCCTGAGGTACTTCCAGGCTTAGCTCTCTGTGACCCAAAACTTTTGTCAAGCTTTGTTGTTCCTAACGTTTCCAGTTTATTATTGTTGTCGTTGTTGCTGTTGCTGCTGCTGCTGCTCCTGCTGCTGCTGTTGTTTTCTGGTCCGAACTTCATTTGGAAATGACCCTGCCTCCTCCTAGCTTAAACCCAAGAAGTCTTTTGCTGTGGAACTGCTCCCCAGAGCTTACATTCTCCATTTACCAGTTCTGGCAGTAACACACTTCCTCCTCCTCAAGAATCTCTTCTTGACTCTTTGGAAGCTAAGACGCTTTTGCTTAGTATTCCCCCCTGGAATTATATTTTATTTTAGCCACCACTGTGATTCCTTAACTCTTCAGTAATCTTAAATCTTAGTTTAGTTCTTAAATCTTTAGTTTCCTTCCTCCCGTGAAGTATTCTTACATTAGGTACCAAAGCAACGATATCGTTCACAGTTTCACTTCAGATTTTCCTTTCCATACATTTCTCCTAGGTCATCTCATTTCCTTGTTTTTTTCTAATGTTCTTTCCGCGATCATAAGCCTCTGCTTTTCAGCTCAAACAAGCATTCGCAGCTCTCCTTTCACTACCCAGAGCCAATCTCCCTAGCGACACCCGGCTTTAACACACCTTAAATTTATCAGACCTCCCAGTCCCTGTCACCATGGACATCAGATGCTCAGCAATCTAAATATCATCAATTTCCAAATGATTCACCTAACACAACCAGAAACACCCATGCAGACTGGCATCTGAAGTTCGTCTCTAGTATCTTCACAGCTTCAGGGTTTTTTTTTTTCTTCCCATTCTCTAGTTCACAGAATATAGGCTCTGCTGGACTGAAGCACGCAGAATTCTCCTAAATGAATACACTGCCTCCAGGGGAAAAAATATATATATACATATATATACATATATGTATATATATATATATATATCCCACTAACTTCAGCCGTATACATGTCATCTCTCTGTATAAATAAACATCATTATTTTACTTAGAATGCTTGAATGATTTTGTATTATTTCAGAAGAAAGCCCCAAGAGGTTGTTTATGGTTGTGTTTTATAATCCGTGTACTAAGGAGTCATTCATCCATTTCAAAAAAAAGTTCTGGTATCCAGACTTAAGTATAGGAACATATGGTAACTTCAAGCATATGATTAATCTATTTATCATGATTTCTATCTATGCTACCAATACTAAATTACTTCAGAGCATAAGTCAGGTGGCTTATTTAGAGTCAGCCCAACATATTTAAGGAACACCTTCATACACATGAGTATAGTATGCAGATGATAAATAGATATAAAACATTCAAATTGCTGTACATGTATAGGTTTATCTGCAATTCTGCAATTTCTGGCTTAATTTCTAACGTGGAAGGGCCGGTGGCCCCAAAAGAAATGGAAAGGATACAACCCAAACCAATGTAAATGTATATTGCATATTGATATCTCATACATACTGCTATGGCTCTATTACTGGCCTCTACTCATGTCATACTAAGAGTAAAGATTGCCTGTATGTGTTTATGTGCAGTACATGTTAATTTCAGCATGTCTTGCAGCATAAATGTTTATACAGCCCTATCCAATCAGGCTTCTTACCTTTACTGAAATTGTCCTCAAGGGCAGATTTTGAGGTTGTCCTCAACCTTGTCTTTCCCTAATCAGCTTCCAGCGCTCTCCTGGAGCTACCAAGCACTTCTCTCCTTCATTTTTGAATGTGAGACTTTGAAAGATCTACAGAACCAGTAAATAAACTTTAAGTATTTAACCCCCTGTCTCCCCCCCAAATCAAAATTATATTTGCACAGAAATTGCAACATATGCTTAGTTAGGGCTTTATTGCTGTGAAGAGACACCATGGCCACGGCAACTCTTATCAAGGAAAATATTTCATTGGTACTGGCTTACAGGCCAGAGCTTTAGTCCATTATCATGGAGGAAGCATGGTGGCACGCAGGCAGACATGGAGCTGGAGAGATAGCTGAGAGTTCTACATCTGGATCCACAGGCAGCAGGAAGAGATGGTGTGCCACTCTTTCTGGCCTGAGTTTCTGAAACCTTAAAGGGTATCCCCCACCCCTCAGTGGCACACTTCCTCCAACAAGGCCACACCAACAAGGCCACACCTCCAGTAAGGCCACACCTCCAATAATGCCACTATGGGTTTACGGGGACCATTTTCATTCCCACATGCATTTGTAATACTCAAGCACTTACCAGCCCAAACCTGGAAATGACCCAAAATATTTTGCAACAGATAAACGGTTACTCAAACTGGGAAGACTGGTTCTCACAGTATTCCATTTTAACACAAGAGAATCAAAAATTGAAAACAGTAATAGAAGTAGAGGAATTCATACCTAGCAGATACATCCAAACCAGAACCCGACTTGCTGTATGATTGTGTTGATGAATGTTTAGCATATTAAACATTCTAGGTATGGGGAAGCAATTAAGTGATAAGCTTAAGGAGGCGAAAGTGTGGGTATATCTATAATGTGAATTATCAAAAAGCTTTATTTTCATTGTATACTTTTCTCGATGTGATTACAGTTAATATATATATATATAAACTGTATATATATATTGAATATATTGAATATATATATTAACTGTATATATATATTGAATCATATATATATATGATTCAATAGCATAAAATCATTTCACATACACACACACACCAGCATATGTTTTATTATAAAAAGAAATGAAACAAAAGGACACATGGGTTCTCCTAGAAAAGCTTCCAAACTTGCATTTATTATTTTTATGTGTGTGTGTGTGCACCTTTATGAGTTAATATGTACCATGCACGTGCAAGAACCCTCAGAGGTCGAAAGAGGGCATTGGTACCTCTGTTGGAGTTACAGGTTGTTGTGGACTGTGATGTGGGTGTTAGGAAGGAAAACTCAGGCCGTCTGGAAGGGCAATAAGTGGTCTTCACTGCAGAGCCATCTCGGCAGCCCCAGATCCATATAAAAATTTTATACAACTCCCTGAAAATCTGTAAATATTTTAAATACTATGAAAAATCAACTTGGACTTCACAACTCCTTCCAAAGTAGTTATTTTTTTTTTAAAAAATAAAAATCTAGAAGAGAGGGTAAGAAGAACAATTGGATATACTACATAGTAACGCATAGTTTAGTTAAGATGGGAAACAGAGTATAGCAAGATGTTAATGTGGCATTCAGCCATATTGAGTCATAATTTTTGATACATAGTGAACATTTTGCCATATTTTTGCTTAGCTATGTTTGCACTATTAAACTTTTAAAAATGTATTTGTTAGCCCATCTCACTCAAACTCTCCAAGTTGCTTTTTTAAAAAGTGTTCCTTCATGTTCTAAAGAGCCCACTCATTTTTCTAATACCTCACGACATTTAATGACTGTTATGGCTTAACTCCCACACTCCTTTGTTTTAACCCCTCCTTAGCTCACTTGCGGATCCACCAATCACACCAAATCCAGAAAGGATTCTGAATGTTTTTGCTGTGAAGAAACACTAAGGGCTGGAGGAAAACAGCCCAGTGAGGAAAGTATCACCAAGTTTACAAGCCCTGTCTTTTCAGCGAGGTAGTCTTGGTATCTGGGTCCCAGTACACCTTTGTGGTTATCTCTAAGGAACATGGAATTTGATTTGCCCTTTAATAAATATGATGACTACCTATAATCGATTACATCTGTATGACTATAAAGGGATGGAATTTCTTTATCTTTGGTCTGCCATAAACTTCTTGAGTGCATATTTAATAAATATAAAAAGTTTTAAGGGGATTTAGGATAAGTGAGAGAATTTTTTTCCTCCAGCAGTTTTTATTTTCAAAGATAAATGAAAGTATCTTTCAGTATTTTCTTTTCTCCTCATCTGTGGTTGGCATCTGTGACTTGATTTACGCTGAGTTCTCCTAAATAGACTGGTCTTCTTGACTTCTCTCTTGTCCAGATGGTAACAGATTATTTCTTGAGGTACAAGTGTAGCACTAGTAAAACCCTTGGAAGAAGTCATTCACTAATCCAGTTATTCCTCACCACAAATACAACATCCTTTCTTTTGAGTTATGTAGGGGGCAAAAAGCTATCTTAATATAATCACAAAAATTTTGTATATCTTACTACTGATTCATTTATAATTTCTATGTATGGTAACTTTTACATCTGCCTTCCTGTTTGTACCTCATTCAGTGTCCATAATACCCACGCCTTTTGCTTGTTGGCCTTCAAAAGTTCAAAGGTGGAGTTAAATTTGGATTATTTGAATCTAGCTATATTAATCAGGTGAAAGCAATACTAATTTCACTCAATAAGCACATGTTTCTGATTTTGGCTACACACTAACCTCCATAGAATATAATAAAATCACGACTAACTAACACCTATCATAGCTTTTGTGACCTATTTAAAATTTTAAAAATGTCTTAAAGTTCCAGTTAGGAAGTCATGCATTTTAGTGGTCACACAAGTGAAAGCCTTTATAATTTGTTGTCAATTATTAGGTGATTTTTTTTCAGTATATGAAAAACACCTGGCCTTATGAAATATTGAAATACTAAAATATACTATACAACACAAACCAGAGCAAATTCTTCAGTAAACAAAAGAGGTTTAATTTTTCATGTTGTTAATGATTAGCTACTTCAGATATTTCTTGACAAAAAGATTAAGATGTTTAGGAAGCATTAATGAGAAGTTAAAATTTTTTATTGTCTAGCTTCTGTCTTCTCTTACAAAATGGGAAAGGTATACACTTTATATTACGTATTGCATGTAAAGGCATACAGGCTGTAGCAGGCACAGAAAGAACTGCTGCCAGGTAGCTGGAGACCGAGCTCATGGGAGAGGAGGGCTGAGCGCTCTTTCAGAGTCCAACCTTCAATGTGAGGTAGCTCCAGGCATCCTTTGACTTCTGCAGGGAAAATGCTGAGTCCTCTGGGCTCTGGTTACAGAGCTGCTGTGGCACCCACACCGTGGGGCTTCCTGTTCCTGCAGGAACAGGTTCTGGCTTTCCTGCTTCCCAAGAGCTCAGGCGCAGGGGCCACGAGCTGCTGCCGTTGCACCAACTGACATCACTGTGGCAAAGCCAGCAGCCACACCATGCTGCCGTTATTCCTAGTCCTCTCCTACCTAGGCCAACTGATCGCCACAGGCAAAGGTAAGTGAAGTCACTGCTGGGCAGGGGACTGACCACCTGTCAACAAGCCATCTGCCATGCTGGCTCCACAGTCTTTACTCCTGGAAGTTCAGAACAGGCTAGTGAAGGTGGCATCAGAACCTCACCCAGTTCCAGGGTCTAGGGGTTCAGGGGCCCATCTCTTCCTGGTGGTGGGAGAACTCAGCCCAAAAGACCATTGACCCTCCTTTTCTGACTTTCCACAATCAGGAAACATCTGCAAAGTGGGAGGAGAGGGGGAGGGAGGGAGAAAGCCAGAGGCCCGTATGTCCCACGTGTTTTCTGCTTTACTATAGGAGAGCATAGGCAAGATGGTACTTCTGCTGCGCTTGCAGGCGTACTCACTGTGTCTCTCTACAGATGTAGAAACACCACTCCTGCAGATCACAGTGCCAGAGAAAATCGAGACTAACATCACGGATGCCAAGGAGGCAGAAACACAAGTAATTAAGAAACCAGAGTTTTGGGAAACGATGGGTGTTTATTTGTACTCGACTTCTGGGCCACATCAACGAATTCTTACATAGCCCTTGTGAAATCCTGCTTATGCCTAACTTAGTGGTCTGAGGCAGGGCAAATGTCTCAGTTTTCTTGGACTTCCCAAGAGCTGTATGAACGTTGCCCAACTGTTTTACATAAGACCCAAACGCTTTAGCTTCTGGTCTCCACGCTGTCATGCACAGCTTGCTGGACTCAGAGAAAACACGGCCACTAATTATATATTCTTACACGCAAGACTACACTAAATTTTACCATGTATCATGATTTTTAAACTGGTACCAGAAAACCCTCCAAGCCTATAAATGCACGTTTTAAATCCTTTGGAAAACAAAACAGTAAAGCATAAAATTATGAAATCATTGTAAAGACCACAAAGAGATGCATACAATGTCCATCTGCATAAGTTCTGAGATATTCATTTTAAGCCAACTGAATATTTAGTCACATACATTTTTAAATGACTCTGTATGGCAATATTGTCTTTCTACTTCTATAGCATTACATCATAGGTGTATAAAACTTCTGACCTGCAGATAACCTCGAGTTTTCTCAGAGCCATTTCCAAAGGACCAGGAAGCAGTTAAACAACTTCAGCAAAGTGGTTCAGAATGTTTTCAGTTCTTCCCAGGTCAGACAATTGTTTCCTACAAAGTTGGCACACGGCTCAGTCATCTCATGCTGTCCCTAAATCATCTGCCTATAATCTCCCTGCTTTTGCTATTTTTAGACAGACACTTTAATTCAATATATAACATGGATGTTAGCCTGCCTAGTTTTACAACTAGCCTCATGGGATTTGACGATAGATAATATTCAATCTACAAGGCAATAATATTTCACATTCCAAACCATGAACTTGGCATAAACAATATTTTTATTTAGCCTTTGAAAATTTTCTTCCATGTATATATCTTGATCATATCCAACTCCATTCCTTTTGTACTTCTCTTGCAGACCCCCCACCTTAATGTCCTTTAAGTTTTTAAGTTGATTTTCTTTAAACAAATTTTCTATATATTTTTTATTCTACCCAGTTTGTTCCATGCATGTGCCTTATTTGCACCTGTCTTGTAGGTTTCATTACAGCGTATCTGCAGATTGTTTTATTTTCTCGGGCTGTAGAAATCTGCTTTCCAGTTGTTTATCTTTTGATTTACAGGAATAAAACATACCCAGTATAGTTAATTGTCTGTATTGATCTTGCAAATAATGACTGCTATTATTTGTGGAATGGATATATTTCATATACCTTTTCAGTGTTTATGATCCCAGGATTATTTGGTTTCAGAAGACATATATATTTGATTGATTTCCCTTTAGGTTCAGTAATGAGAGCAACAGGTTCCTAGGTAGCAGTAAAAACAGTGCCAGTATTGGGTGAGAAAATCATAGCGTATAGGGTGTGTGTGTGTGTATATGAGTATGTGTGAGTATGTGTGTGTGTATGTATATGTATATATGTATGTGTATATATGTATGTGTATGTGTGTATGTGTATGTGTGTATGTATATGTATGTGTGTATATGTGTGTATGTGTGCATATGTGTGTGTATATTTGTATGTGTGTATATGTGTGTGTTATTTTACTTATTAAATGAGGATGATGGAATGTGGGATCGAGGAAAGTAACGAATGAATTGGAAAGGGCTCATATGTGTTAAGAAACACAAGAACTAGTAGAGACTGTTGTGAGGTCATTTCTGTTTGGGGATATGTAGACTCTAATATCTGGTCATATAAAATGTGCATATGCATCAATCACAGCTTGTTACTTTTAAGTAGTTAACATTTCTAATCTCTCTCTCTCTCTCTCTCTCCCTCTCTCTCTCTCTCTCTCTCTCTCTCTCTCTCTCTCTCTCTCTCTCTCTCTCCTCCCCCCCTCCACTTTGTTGCAGGTAACTTATGTGGTCAGAATTGAGGACAAAGCATACACACTCCAACTTGAAAAACAGTAAGTCAGCAAGTGCTCGCTCTCACCACACGACAAACACTCCATTTACTCAGCAGGCTCCATCTTCTTTAAGATTCATGTGGAACTGAGATTTTAAATCTGTCTTGTGAGATTTTAAACCTAATAATCTACATTAATGATGTCTTAAGACATATCTGATAAATGAAGATTACCAAAGGCCTTAAAGCACATCTGCCTTCACAGAGTACAAGTCCCTCACTGCTCCAGCCCCAGCGCCTCCCCCTCTGCTCCAGCAGGAGCCCCTCCCCTCTCTGCTCCAGCAGGAGCCC